GAACCATGACCTTCCGATCACCAGCCGCTTGCCTTGCCGTCTGAGCTATCCTAGAATACATCAAATGGGCAGCTAAATAAGTAATAAAAGCTTGAATCTGAAAACCTATCAGCACTCCCAGCCGTAACTCTAGCTAATTTAAGGAGATGTGAGAATGATTAATTCATTCATAGTTGTTTAACATGAGACCAACGCTACCTCTCAATCTCTCTAATTTCGATGGAAAGGATGCTATTCTTTTCAATAGAGCCATGAATTGGTTGTCGTTAGTGATACGATCTATGATTACGATTTAAATTAATTAGGCGTAGAAAATAAATAAAAAAAAAAGGGTTGAGGTTGGGATTGAACTCGCGACCTTCTACTTGGCAAGCGGAAACGGTAACCACTATGCTACCAATTTCGTTTTGTTGTTAGCCTGAAGCAGTGTTGTGGAATAATGAATGAATACGCCGTTTGTAAAGGATTTACAAAGCATGAAATTAAAACATGGACGCATAGTGGTATAAGAGCTATTCTGCTGACTGTATTCACCATTATTCTACAATATTGTTAAGCAATGCAATGGAATCTAATAATGGAGCTAGAAAACAATTATTAGACGTATAATAAAGCATGTTATTAAATCAATTTAAAACAGTCGAATTAAAGCGTCAATGTGTGTAAAAATTACACTTATTCAGTTTGTTATTAGATCAAACATCTGGTGTTGAATCAGGAAGACAGTCATCGTTTGTATAGCTTTTAATAAGTATATTAATCAAATCAGAGCAATCAGCGGAATAAAGGCGCATCATCGATCTCAATGAGGTTTTTTGAGCACATAATTTGACAACCCGTTTTATTCAGCATTGTATACTGTTATAAAGCATTTATTCAATCTATATGCTTATTTGTGACTCCAACTTGTTTGTGGCATAATGAATCTAATACGTCGTTTATAAAGCATTTAAAAGGATTCAATTAAAACATAGACGCATCGTGGTATAAGAGCTATTTTGCTGACTTTATTCACCTTTATTCAGCAATATTTTAAAGCAATGCAATGAAATCTAATAATGGAGCTAAAAAACATTTATAAGACGTCTAATAAAGCATTTTATTAAAGCAATTGAAAACAGTTGAATTAAAGCGACAATGTATGTGCAAACTACACTTGTTCAGTTTGTTATTAGATCAAACTTCTGGTTCTAAATTAGGAAGACAGTCAACGTTTATAAAGCTTTTAATAAGTAAATAAGTCATATCAGAGCAAACGGCGGAATAAAGGCGCATCTATCGATCACAATGAACTTTTTTCAGCATATAATTCGACATCTTGTTTTATTCAGCATTGTACACTGTTATTCAGCATTAATTCAATGTGTATGCTTATTTGTGACTGTGAATTGTTTGTTGGGTAGTTTATTTTTTTTTCGTGTTGTACTTTGTACAACGGCGGGAGTACTGAAAGGTTAATGGGACTTTAACCGTTACGGTCATTGATCCCAGATATTTTTGTGATGCTAATACAGTACTTTTTCACTAACTGGGCGTTCGTTTTAAATCAGTTATACGTCAAAAATAGACGTCACTTTTAGTTTGACATTTCGTTGTCAAAATTAGTGAGGAGCATTCGAACGGAGTATTAATATAAATAAATTTGAAATTATTTTCATTTCATACTAAAATCAAGGCTTACAAGCGTTTTTAGCGAATGCGTTAAGCCTTTCTAAACTCGCGACTTTGAAAGCTGTTAAAATAACAATAACAAACTTTACACTGTTTCAATTCAATGCACGTGAATATTTTTTTAACGGCGATCAAACAATCTATTGAAGCTCCCCTCAGTGTTTTGACAAGCCAGCCCAGTTAGCGAGTGCTTGTTCGCTAACTGGGCTGCGCTTTTGGCCTAGTTAGCGAACAAGCACTGTACCGACAGTTTAAATTATATTGATCTTCTGGAGGGGGCCTGGCTCCCTATAGGCACCCCATAAGCTACGGCATTGTTTCATGCTGATGTTTAATTTTTAGAGACAGTCGGACTCAGTCGGTAAAGGCCACCCCCCGAGTATCTAGACAGAAAACCTTAGTTTCACGTACCCACTTACAAATTGTAGATGTCTCCACTGTACGTAAACAATGGGGTCAGCCATCGTTGGTGGCACAACTTTTTTCACATCAGAAAACATGTTTTTGTTTCACTTCATGTGGACGTCGAAAGCAAGCCAGGAATAAATTTTGAGTGAGACGTATAGTATAACTGATGTTGCATTGTTTTCGGAATTTAATCGCTTTTATGAAATCAAAATTCATTATTTGGCATGATGGGTTTTAATTCAAGTCTGGTCTGGTTAATTCCCCGAAGGCATCTGGGACATGCCCGGAACCGACCATTGTGGTCCGCGGCGCTCGAAATGGCCAACATTGATTTGGTTGTCATATTTTGAAGTAATTTGTTTTGTCACATGATAGGTTTTACTCTTTACCGGTCAAATTTAGTATCATGGCCCTGAAATATGTTCTTGACACAATTCCTGCACCAGTTGACCGTTTCTGAATCTGTTCAATAATGTTCTATGGGCGAGGCTATGGGAGCATGATACTTTTCATTTGGTGGTTGTTGCGTGCAATTCACATTAGTTATTACCGATAAATACGACTTAGTTCCAAAAATCCATGTTTATCGGATGCCCATATCTCCGGAAATAGTTGACCGATTCTAAATTTGATCAACAGCATTCAATGTGACCATAATACCTTTTATTTGCTGGTTGTTCCGTTTATTCGGTTATGTGGTTGCTGAAAAACAACACTTAGTTCCCGAATTCCGCGATTTTTGGGTCTTGTTCCGTCCATATCTCCGGAACCAGTTGATCGATTGAAAATCAATTAATTAACACCACCATAAACAATAACCATACGAAGCGCCTAACCATAAATTCGGGTTATCATCCCTACTTTACAGTGTTGGGAAAATATCAAAATATCAAATCTCACCAACGCCCAAGATCACGCTTGATTTTCGTAGACAAAAATCAACAAGCAAACAACTGCAGTTGATTTTGCAAGCTGTGATATCACAGCTCGGAATATCAAGCTAACAAAACTCACCAACTGCAAATCTCACCAAACTGTGGTGAGATTGAGTTTAATAATTGTTGCTTTACACCCGAACGCAACCGAAACTTCCATAACGGCTTGCAGCAGTCCCTTCGCGTCTGGCATCGGTGAAGATTAAAAAGAGATAGCAAACTATGCTTTCTCTTTCTAAGAAAACGATGTGCAATGGAATCATTTTTGTGTCGAGGCAACCCTCAGCTTGATGTTTGCACGTTGTGAATAGTCTCGCTATATCAAAGGAGCTTGTAAAATCAATATCAAGCATGATATTTTGTTCCAATATCACGCGTGATATTGCGAGCCCATGAGAGCGGAAAAATATCAATTGATTTCTGATTTTGCCAACACTGCTACTTTATGTGGTATGGTAGTACCATCTATGATGTCGTTAGTGTATGGTACCCGTTTATTAAGCCTTTAATAGAATAATGGTACCTTTCATTTGGTGGCTGTTGCATTCAATTCGGTAGAGTGGTTGCCGAGAAATACGTTTAAGAAAAATGTGTTACGTTCTCACACACACACATACACTGACAGACATTTCCAGATACCGTCAAGTTGAGTCGATAGGAAAACTATTAGAAAAAATATCAATATTTTTACAAAAAAAAACTCAAGAACGTTCAAAAAAGAGTTGATCAAAAATAAGACCAATTGTAAATTTACTCCACCATTATTCGATTTGACAGAACCAGAGTACCAGAATTTTCGGGGTACATTGACATAACACTGGAGTTGTCAAATAGCTCCCGGGTTGGTAAAGGCGCAGCTACAAAGCAAGACCCTGCTGGCAGGGTTGCTTCCACTCACTTGCTATAAAATTATACTTTTCGGAATTATACAATCATTAGATGATATAATGGTATGTTGTACTTGGAGGTAACGAGAAGAGGCTGTAAAGTATGTGTTTGACTCATAAAAACCGTCAATTTCGCTTTCAGAGCGTCACAATTTGCGATCTTATGATTCGTGAGCGTTCACTCAGAGTGAGCACTCACGAGTCGTAAAATCGCTGATGGTGACGCACTGAAAGCAATATTGACAGATTTTATGTGTCAAACACATACTTCACGTCGTCATATTGTAACTTACAAGTACTAATTATCACTATACCATCTCGTGATTTCATAATTCTGAAAAACATTTTTTTATAGCAAATGAGTGGAAGTAACCCTGCCTGCTGGAGTTGGCTGGGTTTGATTTCCGGTCCGGTCAAGAAATTTTTCGGGTTGGAAAATTACTCGACTTCCCTGGGTTTAGAGTATGATTGTACTTGCCACACAATCATACTAATGCAAAAATGGCAAGCTCTCTATTAATAACTGTGGAAGTGCATCTGGAACACTAAGTTGATAGCACGCAATAAGCTAATATGCGATAAGCAATAAGCTTGAAATGCGACGAAGAAGAAGACGACAGTGGTTGTCGTCGTCGGTTAAGTCACTGTTGGAATTAAACACAACAAGTCGATCAGAAACTCGATTTTAATTAGGGGCAAATTCCACTGGATCTGCATTGGCGGTGGATACATATCTATCCCATGTGTATATGAAACTCCATAGCCCATGGGACAATTATGCGTCCGCCGTTAGTGCAGACCATGGTCAATCGCGCAGTAATGATTTGGTGAGTTGTGCGGTCATCAATGCTCATGCTCATAACAATTAAAAATTAAGACGTTCAGTTTATGACTCCGTACAATCAGTTTGGTAACTGACAGGTTTCCATTATTGCGTTATGATTGCTCTTTGAAAAGAATTAAGACATTCTCAGGTGTTTCTGGCTAACCAAAAGCAGAGATATTTACCACACTGATGTTCTGTACAAAGCATTTTATTATGATCCAAACAATGTTAACATCGTTCTAGATATTAATAATTCGCGTTTCACTGCTTTAGCCTAACTAGTCGAACATGGAGAGAATGGAAGTCGATGATAATGTCGTTGACTTGAGTGTCGGGTCCGGTCGGGATTCGCTGACGATCACTCCATCGACGGCCCGGGATTTGCGTGCTCTGACACAAAACTCGGGTCTTACCATAACACCGGCGCCCCCTCCCCCCTCGGCATCTTCACCGTCTGCATCGGGCAGTACTTCTCCCGTTCCTGGAAGACGTGTCCTTCGTCCGCGTACCGAACCAAAATCTTACGCTGAAGTACCCGATATAGTACTGCTGCCGGCTAAGGTAAATGGTCGCTCGTACAATGGTGCTGCGGCAGCAGCTTTGTCCGAATCGGAAGACGATGAAATGCCTCCGGTGTTTCCTATCAAAGAGCTCACCGCAGCGGAGATTTGGGAACGGGAACGGGGGCTTCGCAAACTACGTGAAGAACTGCGCAGTGAAGAAACCAAACTCGTGCTACTGAAAAAACTAAAACAGTCTCAACAAGTGATGATGAAGGAAAATTTGATTGTGACTCCGAGCAATGTGAATATGAACAATCCACTGGCTTCAATACCAGCAGCCCTGACGAAAGGTTCGCTAAGTGTTACGCCGACGAATGCGATTCCGTTGCCTGCACATTCGAAATCTTCTAAGGCTGTCACGGCAATGCCGGTAAAGTGAGTATGAAAAATCCTTCTAGAGTTGTTATCCAACGATTCGAATCGTTTTATGCTTAGTTGTTTCTATTTCAGTCGTGGTTCTCCTATAAACATCACTCCGGTAACGAAACCACCAGCTAGACAACCGTCACTTCCAGGAGGTGCGACTCTGACTCCTAGCACTCCTGGTCAGCGGCTTCCAATGGGATTGACCCGAACTGGATCTAATCTTACAATTACACCCTCGGTTACAATCACTCCAACCAATGCTCCATCTAGCAGTGTCAAGCAGCGTAATGTGAGTCCGAGACTGTAATGTTTCTCCATTCATATTACTAACACTATCGTCTGTCAATATCGCTTATTTCCATTAACGTGTTCTTGTTTCCATTCTTTTTATTGCTATTCGACTCTTATCACTTTCACAATATAACGCATCACAAACACCATGCTTGCTTGACTAACAAACGTAACAATACAACAGCTACCGAATAGTAGCACTATCGGCGGCAATAATCTTAATATGGATACTAATTTGAAGGTACAGTCCGGCCAGATTAGCAACTCGGTGTCTATCACTCCAGCACCACCTATCCCAGCACAAATCAGTTGCACAACGGTGGAACCGGTTTCGCTTAAAGTAAGAACCGCTTTCGAAAATAGTCTACGTTGTGAAGCAGAAACATGGTCATAATTACTAATTTTTACCTTGTTTCATATGCAGCGCGATCGAGAAACCAGAGATGACACACAAACCCAGGCGCAACGCCAAGCTGCAGCCAAACTAGCACTTAGGAAACAACTGGAGAAAACTTTACTACAGGTAAGTGCGGTAAATTAGATACCCAAGTGTTTCACGCCTGTCCTAACTAACATTTCGGCTGTATAAAAGCTGAATACTATTGATCTATTAACAAATAGAATTTAAATCGCAACAAACAATAATGTAATCGATAGCTATCTAAGAACAATTAACCATATTTTGCCTTAAGCGACCTAACCCGTATCCAATCACAATCGACTTTTTTTATCGTCTTATCGGTCACTTACAGTAAGAAAGATACAATTATTGTCCTTAGACAGGTATCAATCAACTCCAACTCTTCAAATTCTGCACGTGCGGGTACTGTGGCAAATCTTGATTTAGATATTGGTTCTTTTCCTCATGAGTAGGATGAAGGTGGGGTAAGGTGGGTCAACTAGTAAATTAATTAGTTTATTTGTTGTCGATATCAACAGGTATAATGCAACCCCATTGACAGTTCAAACAGCTTTTTCAAACCCGCATACATTGATGTTGACTATCAAAAATATGAATAAATTCACCAGTAGATGACCCATCTTGTCCCACCTTATCCTATATGCAATACTGAACATACCTTATTTAAGTTGAGTCATGAACCCTGTCTGAAATTCCTCTCAAGTCCTTATCGTACGTTTTTGCTTCAATAATTGGATTAATGCTTCATTTTGTTGTAGATCCCACCGCCAAAGCCTCCACCACCGGAGATGCACTTCATTCCGAACCCGAGCAATACCGAATTCGTGTACTTGTTGGGGCTCGAACACGTCGTCGATTATCTTACCAAGGACAAAAAACCGAACCTACCACAGCAGCCGTATCGCTGTGCTCAATGCAAAATCGACTTCACCCCGGTTTGGAAATGGGAAAAACAGGGTAAAAGAGGAAATCCCACTTTTCAGAACAGTCCAGGTTTTGTGTTGTTTCAGTTCATTCTTTGTTACTCAATATTAATTTGCATTTGAGTGAGCAGAAAGACAAAAAGCATCACTTCTCACATTTTACCATTCTATTCTAGTCGGTAAGGATCCGAAGGTTATCTGCGAACAATGTGTAACGAGTAATGTTAAGAAGGCACTCAAAGCCGAGCACACTAATCGTCTGAAAACTGCTTTTGTGAAAGCACTGCAGCAGGAACAGGAGATCGAGGCCCGGTTGGCAACTCAAAGTAGTCCTTCACCGGTGGATATTCGCCCAACACCTTCGTCTACACCGAACTTGCGAGAGCAACGTGAATTACAACTCGAACAGCAACAACAACAGCAGCAGGAGCGCCAACAAGCACAAGAACGCCAACAGCAGCAGGAACGTCTGCAACAACAGGAACGCCAAGCAGCAGCACAGGTAACTGACTGTGCCGTTTGGCAGTTGTGCAGCACTAACAAAATAATATTGTCCAAACCTAACAGCGCCAGAAAGAGCAGGAACAGTTACGCCAGCAGCAGCTCCAACAACTGCAACAACAACAGCTCCAGCAGCAGCTTCAGCAGCAACAGCTGCAACAGTTGCAGCAACAACAAGAACAGCAACAACGTGTCCACCAGCTGCAACAGCAGCACGCTCATCACCAATCGCAACCATCGAAGTCGAAAACGCCAACCCCCACGCCTCGACCGACACCAACCCCACCGAGCCAGCAGACTCCGCCACCGCAATCGAGTTCACGATCCAGTCGGCACAGTGCCACGGCCAATGCGGCAGCGGAAGCAGCGGCTGCACAGCTAACGGCTCTTGCCGGTCTCGGAGGACTGGGTCAGTTGGGAGCTCTAGGAAACTTGGGTAGCCTGGGCAATCTGAATCCGACTGCGGCGGCAGCTGCGATGCAGGCCTTTCAGCAGCAATTGTTCAGAGGTATTTTACAAAAGGTTAAACAAAACCATCCAAATGTAACCGTTACCCCAATTTTTTTGTACAGGCCTTCAGCAAGGGCTTTCCGCGGGCAATCTGAACAATCTACAGGCACATATGATGCAATTTTCACCGCTGATTTATTCGTATCAGCTTGCGATGGCACAAGCGGCCGGTAAGTACTCCTAAGTAATTATTACTGGGTTTTATTTAAGAATATGTAATCCTCTCTAAACACTGTACAGATTCTTTGTTGGCTAATTCACTGCCGATAAAAGCATAACAGTCCCACCATATGGATTTTTGTCAAAAAATAGTTATGCATTGGACTGCCCATAAAAGCATATCAGTCTCATCTGGAAAAAAACAGCAAGTCGAGAAAAACGCTGTTGAAAATTTATTTCTCCACGTGCTCTTATGGATGGGACAACCTAGTTTTGGTATTTTTCACGATAATTTCTGAACAAAACATGTAACTTTTAGTGCACAATGTATATAAAATGTCGATAATTTACAATCGATTTTAATAGATAACTAATTTCTGACAAACATCCTTATGGGGCTGTTATGCTTTTATAGGCCGTTGAGTACTCTGCACGCGTCACCTCAAATCAAAAAGTAACCATATTGTGGGACATTTGACAGTATTTCCCAGTTTTTTCTGTCACCGGAAGCGGCCATCTTGGATTTTAAAGTGGCGTCATACATAGATTTCAAGTCCCTAAACGTTGCCCAGATTCCAAAAATATTCAATATTGGCTATTTGACAATATTTTTCAGTTTCCCAGAATCGTAAAATTTACTTCGTAAAGAGAAACTTCGTTATTTGGGTTTACTTCGTAAAAAGAGAGACGTAAACTGCATAGAAAAAGACTTCGTAAACGAAGGTTTCAGTGTATTTAGAATTTTTGAGATATCTTTAAATAGGTACCTCCTTTGGAAAAACGGCAGAAAAACACAACGCTTTGTGTAAACCAATATTTTTTTATATGCTGAAGATACAGGACACAACTTAAAAGAACAATTACATTTTTTAAATCTCTATTGGTTGGAATTTATGTGAATTTTGGAATTCACGCGGAGTTCGGAATTTACGTGGTTTTTTTTTTACGAGGATTACGGAATTTACGCGACACGTATCCCCCGCGTAAAAAGCGACTCCAGTGTACATCGATAATAAAGGATAATAAACGGAATTTAATGAGGTGCTCTAATGGCGGTAAGCGCCAACTCGGATTAACTTTTAAATACCGTCCCTGTTTGGATGATCTGCAAAATATTAGTCGCGTTGATTAACTAACTCTGATGTCGACATCAAAGCAACCGGACATTCTTGATCGGGATTTAGATAAGACAATTGATACCGCCTTCAACTTGCACAGACTGAACACTTAACACTAATCAACGGACAACACATAACACCCAAGTAGACCACAGTAGGTTAATTTTCGGGTTGCGAAAAGTTCCACCGGCTGGAGCTGGAATCAAGCCCTCATTTCGTGGCACTCACAATACGCCTGAACGACTGGTGACGCCGCTAACCGCACGACCACGAACCCCACACTAATACCGGTTGGAGCTTACCACCATAATAGTCACATGTTTTGTTCAGAAAATATCGTGAAATATACCAAATCTAAACTGATTTTCATGTCCGACGATATTAAGTGAATTTCACGTAAATGGTAAGTGATTTTCAAGTATGAAAAAATAGTGCGATTCAATATGGCAGTGATGTATTGCAGATTCCATCTGAAACTGGACTGTCCCAAAAATGCAAAAAAGTTTGATAGAAGTGCACATTTCCGTCAAATCGTTTTGATGTCTTGGAAGCAGTTATTGCTTGCATCATAAGGAATAAGTGCACCGAAGACACCAAGACGATATGATGTAAACTTGCAACTTTATCACACTTTTTAATAAGTGAAAACGCGCTTATTAGTCCAATTTGGTGTGAAATGCGGAATAGCTTTAGTTTGTTTGTTTGTTAGGTTGTTTAAATAATTATTTGCAGGACAACTGCAACGGATTTGATGCGTTTCTTTTGAGAATTTCAATCGTCCTCTCATCAATCAAAATAGGTCTCAAACCGTATCATTTGAAGAGTTCTAGGACCTTTCCAAAGATGCGCCCTCTAATCAATCAAAATGGGTCTTACATGAATCCTCATTCAATTGTGATGTTCCGCATTATATGAAAAATTCTGGGATCTCTTCAAATATGCACCTTCTCAACAATCAAAATAGGTCTTCTTAGTGAGAAAAACAAGCGATGATACTGATATTTGACCATGCATCGGAACCCTGGTCCGAACCTTTTCTTGTATCCAATCTCAACCGAGGTTCATAACCGTCAACAAGAAGAGCTTCGGACCAGAGTTCGATGTATTTGTATATACTCAACACTCCTTATCAACGCTGCTACTGTACACTGAACCAACGAGAAACATAAATTTCACCTGCAAATTCAGGTAACTTCTCAAAGATAGTAATACCAACAATCAATACGAAACTATCGATTTTACATTGGCTCACTACTTGACTACCCGAAAAAAAAATTACAGTGAAATTTTCAGTGGAAACAATGCTCTGACATTAATATTTATTGTCGACAATACAAATGATTGTTATAATGTTGTACCCTTCCGAAAACGGCAAAACTGCTACCTATCTGTACAATGAATGTACATAATAAAATGTTGTTACAATGACTTTTATTGTATTTTTCATTTATTTTATTGTTAACATGATTCGATCACGAACAATAATGAACAACTCTATTACAATAAAAATTGTTGTTACATTAAATATTGGTGTGTTTTCATTGTGGGTTACTTCACGAACAATAAAAATAAATCTGATTGAAGCATGCAGACTATGAGAGGGTCAGCAACACTGCCAATGTATTCAAGATAGGCGCTGCTCGTATGGCTCTTGCTTTGACAGTTCGTTTGGCTCTATTCGTTGCCAAGTCAATTGAACGCCTACGACCAGATCGGTTTGAGTTGAACTCAACTCTCCTGTATCATCTAAATCCCGCTTAGTGCAGACCTTTTCCGTGCAGTCAATAATCATACAATAATAATAAAAAAATCCACCACTTGAAGATGTCAGGAAATAACTCTCAGGTGGAAGCATATTTCATGGGCGATTCTCTCCAGTTGAATGCATTAACTTATCAACGACGCTCAACCACCAAGGAGACGTGACCTAGAGAGATCGAGTGCAGGGGAGTTGGCTTCCACTTTTCACAAGTTCCGGATCGAATCTCAATCCATAACCAGTAAAAAAAGGAATCACCCGTAACATACATACCATCCCTTCACTTCCCGGGTCGATGTTTTATTTTTTCGATTTATTTTTAAAGTCGATAAAGTAGATCTGTCAAGCCAACACATACACTCTAAAGTACACTGTTATTTTTTTAATCAATAAATTCGCCAACCAACAGTAAAATAACAATAATATATAATGTTATTGAAAAAAAAATTGTATGGGGAAATCACGAAAATTTCATTGTTAAGATACTTAACAACCCCCCTTTTTTTATTGTAAATTTTCCATTTACCATGAAATTTACTGTTTTGTACAACATAAATCAAGGTAAATTTATTGTAGACGTAACAATATAAATCATTGTTAAGACAATAATTTTCGTCTTATTGTTACATGGTTTTTTTATTGTATTTTTGTTGTTATTTTTTTTCGGGTAGCCTATTGGTCCCAAGCAAATCGATTAACGTACCCCATTCTAGTCAAAATTCTAGTACTACACAATGTTTGTTTTGATTCGCTATGAAAGTTTGACAGATAAAATGAGGGGTTAGTGGATTTTTCTATGTTTCGAGGGGTGAATCGATTAGCTTGGGACCGAAGAGTCTTAGAGTTTCCTCTATTTGATTATGGATGTACTTGGGACCAATTTAAATCGTTAGTTTCCAATCGGTGCTTATATCCTAACACGTCCTAATTTTTTGGTATCGCCATCTTTATTAATTTTGGTGTGTGGTCCCGATGATGGTCGTATACTGCCTAACTAAAGTATGTCATGACATTGTCATCCGAAAGTTTTTTTGGTAGGAAGTGACTAGAGAAACATTTTCCTAGAAAATTTGAAAACGATATCTCGCCATCTTACCCCACTTTCGGGTGATTTTTCAAATTGGATACCCCCCGTAAAAATATTAAATTCATGGAAATTTACAGTCATCAACTTAGGGATGCGATGGGATGTTGAGGTTATAATTGTGCTGTTGCTGTAAAGTGTATTTTGTAGAAAATTTCTTGGATAACATTTTTCTCTCACCTCAATGGGTTTGGGTTCAATCCCAGCCGAGGTCGATGGGATTTTTCTGAGGCATAAAAATCTCTGGTCACGTCTTCCTTCGGAAGGGAAGTAAAGCCGTTGGTCCCGGCCCATGTGTATTGTGGGACCGAAGAGAGTACCCCAGACAACCAGAATGCACGTATATTCAAAGTTGTTTCTGTGATTTACAAACATATATACAAACAAACAAATCGTATAGAATGCAAAAAAATGGCTTATACGTACAAAACTGGAGGCTATAAACGTATAAGGAATTTTAATTCCTTTTTAAACGACTTGATTTGACATTATATACGATTTAATCTGTAATAACAAGTTCAATTTGAAAAGTCGTACGATGTAATCTGATTTAATTTGTGATCCAATACGATGGAGAAATGGTTCAACGTATATGAGTCGGAAATTTGCATTCTATGCGATTTAACTTAAACGTAATACGATGTATGTCATTCTTATATGCGATGTTGACTTAAACTGAAGCAATTTACGATACTGTTTGTACATTTTTATACGACTTCTGGTTGTCTGGGACCAGAGCTGAGCCAAAAAGTTGAGCACGTTTCTTCGGGACCTTCTGGTCTTAGAGTTACCTCTATGATATAAGTATGTTCTAGACTTTTACTCAGGGGACAACAAGAAAGTCAAATATGTTCAATTTTCTCAGTCCTAGAAAGTTGTGTTACTCTTTTAATCAGGCAAGGCCAATTATATTTTTTGAATTAAATAAATTAACAATTGTTGTACCTTAAAGGTATGATTAAAATAATCCGATTTAGAGTGTTTTCATTCTTTTGGGTTGTTGAAATAATTACTTTATGGAAATCTCAACATACTAGCACATAATATGGTTTTTTACAGTGAATTTACATGAATTCTAGATTTTTAAGGGGGTACCCTATTAAAAAAAAATCACCCAAACGAGGGGTAATGCAACGAGATATCGTTTTTAAGTGTTCTAGAAAAATGTTCCTCAAGTCATTTCCTACAAAAAATTCTTCGACGGCAATGTCGAAACATGCTTTAGTTAGGCAGTATATGACCGACATCGGGACAACATACCAAAATTCATAAAGAGGGCGGTATCAAAAAATTAGGACGTGTTAGGATATAGGGATTTTCAGGACTTTTACTCAGGGGTCAACAAGAAAGTCAAATATGGGAAATTTTCTCAGTCATGAATGATGATGAGATGATGAATTTGAAGCAGGGGTGATGTTTGTACCTATGGGTCCGAATGTAGAATTCTCGATGAACATTTCAAATGATCCTATCTGCTTTGATCGATTCTCTTCATCGAGTTACTCTTTTTTCATAACCACTGCTATGCAAACAGATTTCGCGCTAATTCTACTACATAGTTTGATAAAGGAGGTTCTTATCGTCCAAATACAACAGGGAAAGGTTTTGCAGCTGAGTTATTGACGAAAGAGAAAGTCGATGAGGAGAATCGATCAATGCAGATAGGACCTTTTGAAATGTTTATCTAGAATTTGTTCCTCGCTGACCGTTGTTAACAGCAGAGGAATTTGTACCTTGTCGGGAACGTGGAGCATTTCCTACCTGTCGCTTAGAACGGAATTGTAGGATCGCTTTGCAAGTCTTACATTCCCAAAAAACGGATTTATGGTTTTCACCACAATTTGAACATTTAAATTTCTTAGGATCTTCCTTCAAGGACAGTCGTCCTTTGCGTGAGAGGAATCACCACAATTTATGCATTTAGCTGGCATGTAGCAATTTTTAGTTCCGTGACCCCATCCCTGGCACTTACGGCACTGGGTGAGGTTTTGAAAATTTCCTCCAGTCTTCCTGAAGTGTTCCCACTTCACTCGGACATGGAGCATGAGGCTAGCTTTTTCCAAGGACTTGAAGTGAACTAAATAAAAATCATTAGAAATCCCGTTGCGTGAATCGCCAGGACGGGATTTCATTTTCATTTTGATTACTTGGAGTGGCACAACTCCAAGTAATTTTGCCAGTTCATGTTTGATCTGATCCAGGGATTCACCACTGGGCAGTCCTTGAACACACGTTCAGTTTTGGTGTCATAAGTAAAAAATTGTATGCTGCTTCTCAGTAAGATGCTTGAGAAGACGTTTGAATCCGTCCAAGGTTTCAGCCAATACACGGCATTCACCCCGACGGTCAATTTGCAGTTAAAACTTGAATTTCACTATGTTCAAAAGTTCCGTGCGAAGAGCATGGAAATCGGAAGTGGTTATCACAATAGGGGGAATTCTTGGCATTAATCCGGGAAAGTTTGCTTGAATTTTTCCTGGATGATGGATCATTCTCATCATCCGTAAGCAAATCAAATTGATTGCTCAAATTAATTTCATCAAAAGGGGGATCAAGTGATTGCCCTTTTCTTTTGTGATTTAGAATCTGAAAAATCGAAGAGGAATTTTTGTAATCGATATCCAAGCAGAATTACCTCGGGTAGGGTCCAAACAAGGATCGAAGAGGAAAAGTGCCGTTTAAATTTGTTGTAGCTTTAGGTAGTAGTAACACTTCCTTCAACAAAAAGCAAATAGATCCGCACGGCAAGAGAGCACGATGCGGACTGGGTTGATATTAAAATGATTTTCAACCGTAGTTGATCATTAGGGGTAGTGTTAGGATTGTCATATCATGTGTGATCATGTGATATCATCATTATGTTTGTCGTAGGGTTCACTTGAATTAATTTTTAGTTCTCTTTACAATGTTATTGAAATGCTTCACAAAATAACTTGAAATTTATATTGCAGTAAAATTTCTTTGGAATTCTCGTCAAAACATTCTCAACAATTTAAAAATAAATTCTCGTAGTATCAGAATTCCAATTCCAAGAGTAATGTTTTTTTTATCTGGAATGTTATAATTAGCGCCATGTTTGGAATTTCGATAAGCTGTGAAAACAATGTACAAAAAAGTGTCCTTCATGTCAATCGTCCTTTATCCCAAACATACCAGACTAAAAAATATTAGAATGGGTTGCGGTGTAACAAGCAAGTTTACGAGAAATGAGCTTAATCAATAAAAAATAAGAAAGGAAAACGGAAAATTTAGCTAAATCGACCATTTGATTTGCATTTGATGTTGATTTTAATAATCTTCTTTTTCAGCATCCCTATCAGCGGCCGGCAAGGGAGGCGGTGGTGGCGGCAGCAGCGGTGGGGGCAGTAGTAATTCCGCAGCTGCCACCGCAGCGTCGATAGCCGAGATGCAACGAGCCATGGAATTGCAGCGTCAGTATCTGGAGATGCTGCCGCAGAGTGGACCTAGCAACAACCGTCAGTCTAATTGGAAATCATAAGCGCTGTGCGGCTGTGCACCATTTGTCTCGTGACGGGCGGACGGCTCCAGTCCAGATTGTTACTTTGTCTTACCTATTATTGCTCCTTACGTAAAAGCCCTCGGATCTTCGATCCTCTGGGGTTTCCCGTTGTTGGTTTCTTCGTTTCAAACTCACAAATTGTTCAAAAGTTGTGGTGCGTATACAATATTTAGTTTTTAACTTCGTTTAGTTTTTTTTACGATATTTTAACTGCATCATAATTCTTTGGTTTTCTAACTGTGAGAAGCATCTAGCTTTTAATAGGTAATAACGAAAAAAGTGAGAAAAGTTAAGCTTGTTTGTGCACACTTCGCTCCTTCGCAGAAAAAATGTACGCAAGAGATAAAGTTAGTTTTCTAGAGTACAATTTCGTTTGTGTCCTATTTCTCCAACCGTGAGGAATGTCGATGTACACAGTTTCTATGATTTAATATTTGAATTTATTTTCCACGTTTTTCGATTGGAGCAAAACTGTCAATACATTTAAGAATGATGAATAGTAGGTTTATGGAGATCATATTCAGTTTTGAACAAAGTGGTAGAAAGTGTGGGCTCTAATTTATGTTATGCTGAAATCTCAATTCTCGACGAACATTACAAAAGGTCCACTGCACGATAATCGATTTTCTCTTTAGAGCACGACAGCTCCGTAAACAAATTTCCGGTTATGTTCTACCCACAATTCGCTAAAAGAAGGTATACTTATTTGCAACTTTAGCTTGAATACCCCCCAAAAGTGCAAAAAACTGTGATAAAAGGACGTGTTTCTGTCAAATCGTCTTGGAGTCTTCGGCGCACTCATTTCTTTATTCAAAAGGAATAAGAGCGCCGAAGATACCAAGACAACTCTACGAAAATGCGCATTATTAAATAACATCTACAACGTCAAACACAGCTGGAATCGTATTTGTAGCCGAGTTATAAGCGAAAGAGGGAGTCAATCAGTAAATATACGATACATTGGATCATTTGCATTGTTCAGCGTTTCTCGTTTTTCATTTGTATACGTTAGTTACATTGCACATTTTGCTCCGCAAAGTTTTTTAAGACATTTGAGCCTAATCAAATAAACGAAATGAAAAAAAAAACGGTTATTGCATATCACCATTAGGGTAAAGTCAATCCTGTTATAAATAGATATAAAGATATTTGATTCATTACAGGATCGAAGTTGCCTCAAGCGTCTACCAGTTTTCAACTTCACTTCCTCTCCTCTCTGCCCACACTAGATATTGCTCTATTCGTAGTTGTTAATCCACGGAACAAATGATATTACTTGCTCAATCCTATCCCAGATAGCATAAACATAGTACACGGAATTTATGTCTTATCCATTCATTCAAGTCGAACCAACAGCCAATACAATTAAACATTAATCATTAAATCGACATCAATACCCATAGTTCCATACCAGCAAAAAACACAGAAGCAACAGAGCTCAAAATTGCATGAAAAAAATCGTTCCTCTCGTTTTGCCGATATGTGGAAAAGAAATTGTGAAGCATAACAGTTAATCAAAACTATATTGCAAAAAACACTTACAAACTAAAATACGTATGAATACTTAACAGTAAACACACAGAGAGAAAAGAACCGCAATCGTGTAAGTAAAGTGTGTGACATTTAGAACTGACATTTTTCCAGGAGAGAAGTGCAAAATAAAGAAAAAATAGATACTTACTTCATTTACAATTTGGTTTGGAGAAACGAAAACTCTGAGAGGTAACTGTAGTCAAGTTTAGATTTTTCAGAAAGAAACAAACACATTTTTAGGCCAAAGTAACAAAATTCTAACTAAAAGGTAAGACAAAAAAACACGTACTTTTAAGGCAGAACCAGCGATAGAGAAATTATAATCTTATAAGGAAACGAACGTTGTGAAACAGTTCTCAGTTATTAAGTTGAGCGCAAAATCTCAGTAAAGTGTAACATTTTGAAGAGTGACGGCAGAAACGAATGGTAAATCTTATCTTAATTTCGTGCGAAAGGTAACAAATTTAGGCATATAATTTGCATAAGTTTCCCCTCGGCGATTGCGTCGGTCGACCGTGTTATGCGGTAGAAAAGTATGTTATCCAAACAACGTGTTTTAATTTTGACTTGGTAGAGTGCTTGCAAGAATAAGAAAGACGAAGAAAAAAAAGGCAGTAGTTTTCAGTGCTTCTCTCTTTTTAGGAATCAACAATTTTCAAGATTGGTCTTCTAATGATACATATTGAAATATTTGCTAAAATAGATGTCCTTCTTCAAGGATCATTGGAAAATGATTAACACGGTTCGTTGTTTTACTTTCCGATCCGAACAATGTTCGCGGCAAGACCATAGGTATGTACATATGAATACCTTTTTTTTTTACTTTAAATGATATTTATTTCTTGTATTTGTGGGTTAACATACGTGTCTTTTCATCTTTAGTTAATTTGAATTTTATATAATTATTGTTCAAAATCATTAAGATAATTAAATTCCATGAACTTCAATATTCACCATAAAAACGCGCACTGCACCCGTTGTGCGCACGAATAGCACAGACGGGTGAAAACAGCAACGCACTTGCGCTGTCAAACCAACGCAACATAAAACATGTAAATAGAGATTGCTGACGTTTGTCGTACGTAGTGTGCGTCACGTATACGTATACGCAAAATGTTTTCATCGGGAAAAAAACTTCATAGCGGAAAATTTTCCCGATGAAAACAAATCACTTACACAATCATACTTTAGCAATCTCTATAGTAGCATAGGATGTACAGAAAATGTAAATAAAAAATCAGTTGAAATCAGCATCCCGTCGCGTTTAGATGAAAGTTGCTCTACTTCCGTGTGTGGTGTCCGAAGTGCCTCGGTCGCGAAACCTCTTACACAAGTGAATCCGTTTTTTGTCGAGCTAATTAATTGCGGTGGAAGGTGAAAGAACCACAGCCAGGGAACTATTTCCACCGTCGTTTTTGTTGAAAAGAAAAGTGGTTAAGTGCTAAACAATTATTGTTTAAGTTCCTAATCCTATCAGGCTTGTTTAGAGCATTCCCACCTTTGTGAGATTGGTTTATTTGAAATTGGAAAAGGCTACTTAGAACTACTATTTACTACTACAACTAACCTAACCTACTATATACAAATTGCTTATCAAAGTATGTTCAGATGTGTTGCATTTCTGTACAAACCTAGTCTTTGTGCCATCAATTTTAAAATCTAATTTTGAAATGTTCGCCTCTAAATGAAGATAGGAAATTCTTGTGTCGATCAATAACCATCCTCAGCACTCTATTTTGAGCAACCTGGATTTTGTTTATTTGTTTATTTGAGGCCGGATCTACGACAAATCAGCGGATACAGACACCTAACCAAGGCAGAACACATCTCTACATGCGAATGGAAAAGGAGCTTTTCGTCGGGCCATCCATGATTACAGTACAAGAGGGAGCCGGTTTTAGTTACCAATGGAGGAACATAATTCTTTGAGTTTTAGAGGCATTGATTTTGATTTTCCACGTGTTTGCGTAATCAGCAAAAACGTTAAAGCATCGTTGAAGTTTGTTCGTTATTTCGCGAGGCATCCTTTCTTTGACGGCTATTGCGTTTTATTTTATTTTATTACTATGCGTTTATTTTTCCAGGCTCATTTGCCGTAGCTTTGCGGAGCCGATATTCATTGTTTAGATTACAAAATTACTTAAAACTAACGTTAGTAAAGCAGGAGCCGATTACTCGCGGCTATCTCGAGGTTAGGAATAACAAATTGTAACAAATGGATGGCAGGGTATGGATTGAGAACACAAGGTTTGGAGAGCAATGTGCTCTTGATCTCGAATTAAGCGACAAACTGATTAAAAGACAAACATGGGGGTACACCGATGGGCAGCTAACAACTTGGGGGAACACTAACTACTAAATCCTCAGATCTATCCGTTTTAAAAACACATAAATTAAATTGCAATAGTCGAGATCTTGGCTCGCATAGGTTGTTTTCCTCGGGCCCTGAGGGATGCGCATAACTCGGATCTAGCAACACAATGGAGGGTGCATGACCAAAGCACGTGGTCGATCTCGTGATAACCACTACCACAAGCGAACAAATTGCTGCCTGCGAGCCCAATTCGAAAGAATTGCGAGTCTAACGAGCAGTGATTGGACATGAGCCTCGACATGACACGTATAAAGTTACGGTTCATGTCCAACCCATTGAACCACGGCTTGATCTACACCTGTAACCATCTTCCCAGATCACTCTCATTCCATTTTTGTTGCCAGTTGGTGAGGACTTGCTGACAGGTAATTGAGAAAAATTCTGCAAAGGCGATTTGTCGATCAAAAATATCGCCTTCCATAGCGCCCACTTTAGCCAACGAGTCCGCTTTCTCGTTACCTGGAATAGAACAATGAGATGGGACCCAGACTAAAGTGATGATATAGGAGCAGTTAGATAAAGTACTCAATTTGGCTCGGATTTCGGTCAGGAAATACGAGGAGTGCTTCATCGAATAGCCTCCAATGAGCTAAGACTATCCGCTCAGCTATCTATCTATCCGCTAGCCTATCCGCTCCTCGTATTTCCTGACCGAAATCCGAGCCAAATTGAGTACTTAATCTAACTGCTCCTATACCATACCTTTAGTCTGGGATCCATCTCATTGCTCTATTCCAGGTAACGAGAAAGCGGACTCGTTGGCTAAAGTGGGAAATAATGGTCAGAAGGTAGTGAGGCAATTTGTGCTTCTTGATGGTTAGAAAGAACCGGAACAGCAAAGTTTAAAAGTAGAATGGATTTTATTTAACGACTAGCTTGAGTGGAGTCTTGAACAGGAATGAAAAGTTTTTCACCGTTGTTTATTTAAGAAAACTTAGGTTGCTAGGGGTGACGTTCGGTCTCCAAGGAGGTGATCAGCACACTGCGTTACCGATTTACTCCAACACCCCCCCTGAATCGGTCAGTCCTAGGAGGGTCCTCAGTTCGCGGAAACGTCCAGGTTCCAGGGGCTTGGTGAACGTGTCCGCTATTTGGTTTGCTGTATCAATTGCTTCGATTTGAAGTCTTCCTTGTGCCACATGGTCGCGCAAAAAATGGTGCTTTACATCGATGTGCTTGACACGCTTGCTTTCGGTGTTTGTGGCCATTGCAATGCACCCACGGTTGTCTTCGTACACCTTGAATGCCGTGTCCGGTCGAACTTGCTTCAGGTCTTCAAGGATTCCGTGCAGCCACAGCCCTTCGGAGGCCGCGGCACTTAAAGCTGCATACTCGGCTTCACACGACGACAGTGCAACGGTTTGTTGCTTGCGGCTTGCCCAAGACACGGTGTTCCCAAAGACCTTAAAGACGAAGCCACTAACGGATTTCCTATCCTCAGCATCCGATGCCCAGTCAGCGTCTGCGTACCCGACAAGTGCCTCGGCGTCGTCGTTTTGCTTGTACTGGAGCTTCAAGTTCTTCGTTCCCTTCACGTAACGGACCACTATCTTCAGGGCTTGCCAGTGGGCCCCATCAGGTTGAACTTGGAAGCGCCCTAGGTATCCAACAGCGTAGCATATGTCCGGTCGAACACACAGCATCGTATACATCAGGCTGCCCAGCAATTGACGGTATGGATGCGACACAGGATTCGCAGCTTGTGGTGGCAGGAAACAGCCTTTTTCCATTGGGGTTTTGACATGGTTACAGTCTTGCATGCCGAACTTCGTCAGCACACGGTCCACAGCAGCTTCTTGCGCCAGGTACATGCATCCGGTGGCGCGGTCGTATCGGATCTTCATTCCAAGGAAATGATTAACCACGCCGCAATCCGTCATCTGGAGCTTCTTGGAAAGAGCACGCTTGATCTCCTTCACCAGGTCCAGTCGATCGCCAGCAATGAGCAAACCGTCCACGTAGATGATTATGTATACCCCCCCTCGATCGTCGATCCTGGTATATACACAGTAATCATGCCGGGAACGGGTAAAGCCGAAATCCAGTAGAAGGTCGTTTAGCTTGTTGTTCCAACAGCGGGGGCTTTGCTTGAGTCCGTACAGCGATCGATCCAGCTTGCAAATGAAGTTCGGTGGTGCTGCAACTCCTTCGGGTATGGCCATGTAGACGTCTTCTTCAAGCTCACCGTAGAGGAATGCGGTCTTCACATCGAGTTGGTGAACGTGCATCCTTCGGTGGGTTGCTACAGCAAGAACGGTTCGTATCGTGGCTAACTTTGCTACGGGGGAATATGTTTCGTTGTAGTCGACTCCGGGCTTCTGTTGGAATCCCTTCGCCACCAAGCGCGCCTTGTAACGGATCGGTTCGCCATGCTCGTCCGGCTTGATTCGGAAGACCCATTTCGATTTGAGCGGAACCACACCAGCAGGGCATCTCACCAATCGCCAAGCATGGTTGTCCGCTAGCGACTGCAGTTCCTCACGGACCGCTTGCTGCCAAAGAGCTTCGTCGGCTCGTCCAGCGATCTCCTTGTACGCCTCCGGGACATCGAAGATCGAACGCTCGGCCTCATCTCGTCCAACGGAACCGTCAAATAGTACATCGGAAACGTTATGGGGAACATCTGCAGAATGGGATTGCGCGGCAGTGAAAATTTTTCCAACCAGAAATTCTTTCAACTTACCGGGGAGTCTGCGCTCCCGTTCGCTGCGCCTCGGGGTTTCCATTTCGAGGTTTGAACCACGGTCTAGTTGCGAAGGGAGCGCTCCGGTTTCTTCAACACCGTCGTCTTCAACCTCGCCTTCTTCATCATCAGTCAGGATGTCGTCATGTTGAGCCACCAGCGGCTCATCGGGTTGAACGGACTGTTCAGGGGTTTGCACGTCTTCCTCATCTTGATCCTCGAACTCGTACGGAGCAACAACCAAAGGAGTTTCGTCACGGATCTGGGTGGCAAACGGAAAACTGTTTTCATCGAACTTGACATCTCTGGCTAGGAATAACTGCTTCTTCTCTTTGTTCCACAGGCGGTAGGCGTTCGGCGCATAGCCGATCATCACAGCAGGCTTGCTTTTCGGATCCAGTTTCTTCCTCTGTGCCGTGGACACCCAAGCAAATGCTTTACAGCCGAACACACGTAGTTTACTAACGTCCGGCTTGTGACCAGTCCACATTTCCGCAGGAGACTTCCAATCAGATACCGCGGTGGTTGGACTTCTGTTCGTCAGGTATACCGCCGCTAGAACCGCTTCATTCCACAGATTCTTCGGAGTTTGGGCTTCAATCAGCATCGCACGCACCTTTTCGACGATTGTCCGATTGAACCGTTCGGACACTCCATTCTGCTGTGGTGTGTACGCTGCGG